ACTTATCAGATCAAACCTTTTGATCTGGGGTTGGGGATATCTTGACTTCTCCTTAGCTATCATAAAAGGCAGTTGGAGTTATTAATGGGCATCCTCCCTACTACTCTGCAGTGCTGGTGGCTGAATGAGCTCAGCAGTAGCAACAGTAACTAAGCAGACCCTGCCACAGGGCTTGGAATTGCCCTGTGATTGGAAAAGATGGCCCTTTCTTAGCACCCCTCATCTCCTCCCCTACAAAGAAACATCCTTTGAAAACTCATGAGTACAAATTCTCACCCAAAGAAGAGTCAAAATGCTTTCCCCACTTCCAGGCAGGCAAGACTCTCTTTAGTCTGGTAGACTCCTTCAGTGCACTTTTGTTAGTTTCTGAAATGCCCGTTATGGAAGGTTCTATTGACTCCCCAGCATGCTTTTCTCCCCCAATTGTGCATGTGTGTCTACGAGTGCACACGCCGGGAGGAGTGGCTGTCAGTCTTCATCACCAGCAAATCTCCACCTGGAACACACATAGACACAACCGCTGCACAGGACCAGTAAGATCAGCACAGTGTGGCTGAGCACCAGGACCCCTACGGCAAAGAGGTACAGGGTTTTGTCACAGTACGCCTGGGGCTGCTGGAAAGGGGGAATAAAGTCAGGCAGGTACACAGAGAAGACCCAGTAATTCCCCAGAATAAACCAGAGGAAGAGGAAGAGGCTGAGGATGAGGTGCACGTAGTATTTGTGCGCGTTCTGTCTCCAGGGATACTCATCATCATCGTCGTCATCAATCACCAGAGCCTTGGACAGAAGCCGCCTCATCCTGGTGGAGTCATGCAGCAAGAGAGACACCTGGAGGGTCGTGGGGTGGGGGTCATAGGGGAGGGTGGAGAAGTTGCGGGAACAGAGGGAGTAGAAGGGGGGAAGATGGGGAGAGAGACAGAGAGAGGTTATGAGAGGTACATATACTGGAGTTGGAAGAGCTGCTAAAGGAGGACATTTCATTTGATTAATTAGAATTGGAACTGGCATGAATGAAGACATTTCATTTGATTAATTAGAATTGGAACTGGCATGAATGAAGACATCAAGCTTGCTGGCATCTTCCTCCTGGACGCAGGAGCCGGTTTGGGTACGGGATTAGCTGGCATAAACTTACCTCTGTAGTGAGGCTTGGACCAACTGGCCTTTCTAGTTTTCTAGCGCATTTGCATGACACCTAACAGTACAGGAATGATACCTGGTGGATGCTAACGCACCTCCCAGCCAGGCTCTCTGTCTTAGGAGGAACTATTCCCCTGCCACTTGCAGGCCACGTCACAGGCCTGGCGGCTCCAGGCATCACTGGTCCCTTCCTGTCCTCCTCTACCCAAGCTGCTTTTCTTTGGGCTGTGTCCACCCTTCTCTGTCCCTAGGATCTGCATCTTGAGTGGGGCTGTGGAGCAAGAGCATTGTCCCGGCTGTCCTCACATATCCCTCAAGTCAAGAGCACACACCTTCTCCTTTGAGCAATCCTCTGGGGGGACAAAGACCATCTCTTCCCCTGGCAGATGGCCCCTGCCTGACTCCAGTCTGACACCCCTTAGAAAGTCAGTTTCCATTTGATTACACAAAGAATCCCCATTGCTACCAACCTGACTGGCCTCAGACCCATGTCTCAGTGTCCCCTTGGAAAACACAGCCGGGGAAGAACATAGCCTTCTTTGCTGGGGAGACCTTTGGCCATTCCCCGGCTTCCCTGTGATTTCCTCTGAAAACCGAATCTGCTTATCTGTTCTATCCCAGCTCCCCAGCTCCCCTATGGCCAACCTCAGTGCACCCCCAACCCAAGGACAGCAGGGCTAGAGGGAATCCTCTGATGGCCAAGAGCATGCAGGTTGGTGAGGGGTGAAACCCAGAGCCCAAGTGAAATGGAAGGGTAGGGACGAGTCCAGAAATGTCACCAACGGGATCCAGACTGGGGCAGTGATGGGGACAATGATATCAAGAGGGCTGGGGAGCAGAGGAGCCTGAGCTGTGCATTTGAGGTGTGTGACAACCTCGGGTTTGGACTTGCTCCATTTAAAATTCTGGACGGACATGCAGGTGATGGTGGCCAGGAGGGGGTGGTCAGAGGCTGGTGGTGAACAGAGACAGGTGAGGGCTGTGACTGAGATATGGGAGTTATCTTTGTGCTGGTGACAGTGACTCTGGAAATGGACATTGCACAAAAGGACAGACACCCTGGTGCTAGGTGAGGTGCTTCGTGTACAGCACCTCATTTAATTCTCTCAGCAATTAGGTGCCAAATAAATTTGTGCACAGAAGGACCCAAACGGAAGCCATCAGGCTACAGAGTCAACAGCGATGTTTGTTTGCTGTGTGGTGTAATTTACAGGTGATTTTGATGTTCTCCTTGGTACTTATCTGCATTCTGTTGTTTTTCGACAGTAGAGAGCTATTATTTATGAAAAAATAGCAAAACTTAAGTAGTTAGTCCAAAACTTGGCACTTATGAATGACTTTATTTAAGACCTATACTAGCCTATGAGCTGTGTATGACTAACCCTGCTTCCTGATCGAGGACACTAAGGCTCAGAAAAGTTAAGTCACTCGACTCAGTACACAGTGAGTGAAGAATGAGATGGAGCCAGTCTGGTGGCACATGCCCGTAATCCCAGTGGCTCCAGAGTTTGAGGCAAGAGGACTGCAAGTTCAAAGCCAGCCTCAGCAACTTGGCAAGACCCTCAGCAAACAGTGAAATCCTGTTCCAAAAATAAAAAAAGTAAGAGGACTGGGGATGTAGTTCATTGGTAAGGAGCGTCTGGGCTCAATATCCAGTACCAAAAAAAAAAAAAAAAAAAAATGAGATGGCCATCAGCCCACACGTGTCCGACCACTATATATACCATACCACGTGGTGCTGGAATCAGAGTGGGTCTCTCCTGTGCCAGGGAGCCCTCCTATTTGGTAGTCCTGTTCCAGCTCTCTAGGAACAAGTCCTGCAGCTTGGCTGGGAGGCAAGATGTTTCTCTAAGAAGAGCAATGGGACACTTCAAGGAGTCCGGCATGGAGCTGGCTCATCCAGGAGGGCTTCCTGGAAAAGGGGGCAGCAGACTCAGGACCCCTCAAGAGAGGAGAGGTGGGAGGACCTCCTGGGAGGGAGAGTGGCATGGCAAAGACAAAGGGAGATGAGAAAGCCCCTCGACTGGAGCAGAGGCCTCGGTGAACACCACCTTTCTTTTCCTCGTCAGCTCCGGTGGCAATGCTCTGGACATTCTAGAACACTGCCCAGCAGACTGCCGTGAGCATCACCTCACTCTTTGGGCAAATCTCCTACCCATCCTAGGTCTAGAGAGGATAAATTGTGCTACCTGCCCTCCGGGAGGTCTGTTCCCTTGCTCTTGGCACACAAGGAGCCACAGGACACCCAGGGTCCTTGGTTCAGGCTGTCCTCTTCAAACTGGTTCCTGGGCCCAGTGACGCCAGGAGAGAGGAACTAGGTGGGGCTCAGGCATTCTGCCACTGAACCAGGAAGCTACAGTAAGGGGACCTGCTGCCCAGGCTTTCCGGAGCCAAACTGGTCCCTTGCTTCTCCACCAACATTTTGAACTCAAAATGTGTTCTTCCAATAAACTCTCTCTTAAGTTAGAGTTGTTTTCTTTTTCTTTTTCTTTTCTTTTTCTATTATTGGTGTTCATTGTACTCAAAAGAATTCCTGATGCCAGTTCCTGCCTCACGGGGGCGCTATGAGGACAGAATGAGTCCCAAATGGGGACACAGATGTCAGCACAGCACCTGCGAAAGGCAAGCTGTTCACGGTGGCACTAGGAAGAGGGACACTGGAGGTGAGGTGGAGTGTTGGGTAGATAATGGCCACCAGATCAACGCGGGTTTTTTTTTTTTTTTTAGTTGTAGTTGAACACAATACCCTTATTTTATTTATTTATTTGTTTTTTAATGTGGTGCTGAGGATGGAACCCAGGGCCTCGCACGTGCTATGTGCTACCCAAGCGCTCTACCACTGAGCCACAACCCCAGCCCCAGATCAGTGTTTTTGAAACTTTCTTTTAACATGATCCAAAGCAACAAATACATTTTACATCATGACCCAGAAATTGGGTAACTCGAAGTCCTTGGGAGCTCAGAGAAGTCCTGGTCTGTGCTGTTGTCCCACCATGATGATTATTAGAGTCCCCTTGTCCTCTCAAAATTATTTCCATTCGGATGACAAACAGGCAGGTGTCCATACATAGTATCACACAATACTTATTAGGCACTCTCATATTTTCTGTTTTATTTTATTTTTAAATCAGATCACAACCTGCTAAATGCATTTTGTGACCTAGTAGGTCATGACCGCCAGCTCTTTTTGGTAACTCCGGGAAATGCCACCTCATTGCTCAGATTTCTCTTTGAATGCGATACCTTGATGCTATGTGGTGCATTTCACTAAAGATGCTGGGCTGGGCAAACTGTGTTGGGGGGCGGGTGTTAAACACAAAGCATTATCATCACAAGTAAACTTGGGCCTCTGGGGGCACCATAAACCTGTTTGCTGCTGCTCTATTGTTATGGACTCACTGTATATTACCTCACCATGTTGAGCACCAAAATTTAATTTGGCTTCAAACAGTTTTAGATGGCCAGGAAAAAAAAATCGATGCTGTTTATTAGAGCCCTGGTTTGTTCATTAAAATAAATTACCTTTGGGTTCTGAGCTGGCTTTTGTAAAGGGAAAGCTGGCTGTTATTAGGAGGCTGACTCTGGGGACAGTAGCAGCTCTACAGGAAAGTTCCAGGTAGCAACCTGGTGATGAGGCAGTCAGCTGGGGATGGATGGCACAGGTAATTACTGCAGAAAACTTTGCTCTTGTTTTGAGCATCTCCTTGGTGCCCAAGGCATTGCCTAACACCTGGGGGCCACAGGGGATATGCAGCCTCTCTGAGCTGACAGTCCCTGGGTTTCTTTGGAGCCAGACAGAGCCTCAGGAGAATTCCTGGGGAATGTTGTTATAGGGATGATAACGCGTATCTGTACATTCCAGAACATTGCCCACCAGAACATTGCTGTTGGGAAATGAAGCTCCAATGGTCAGTTCAAAATCAGACATTTCCCAAGATGTCACAGAGCTTGTGGATATCCATGACATACGAGAACACATATTTTTAAAGACATTCCTTTGATGTCTTAAATCAAGAGCATGACCAACGCCTCTGGCCAAGATCTTTTGAAGGATCCCAGCACCAGGAGGAAGTTGGCAAAGAAACCAGACAGTGACTCTGAATGAAATTTTATATATGGCACTCTTGATTCTGTTTTCTCTATTGTGTTGTTGCTTCATTCTTATGTGTCCTCTTTGGAAAAAATAGCTACTATGTTTTCTAGTTTTGATAGGAAGCTGTGAGGTGGGCTTGGAGGTTAGGAAGAGTCACTGATAAGCACAGGTTGACCTGAGGTACTTTTGGCAAGTGTAACATTTCTGTGACCAGGGATTTTGGAAACCTAAGTTTCAGCTCTGCATGCCACTTGATATTTCTTCTTCAGTCTCTTTCCTGTTTGAACAGATGCCAATACAACCCACGAGCTAATCAGCTCTCTACATGGGCTTGAGAGTCAGAGAGAAGCTCTCTTAGCACCAGACACCAGAGTTTAATGGTTGGTTGACGACTGAAGCCAGTTTAATTCCACATGGTCAACTGACACATAGCAAAAACAGAAATACAAACCCCTAAACATCATACCTTTCAGCTGAGTGTTGCAGTGCATGCCTACAATTCCAGCTACTCAGGAAGCTGAGGCAAGGGGATTGCAAATTCGAGGGCAGCCCCAGCAACTTAGTAAGATCTTATCTCCAAATAAAAAGGGCTGGGGGTGTAGTTCAATGGCAGAGTACCCCTGGGTTCAATCCTCAGCACCACGCTCTCTCTTCTCTCCCCGCCCCCCCCCCCTCTCTCTCACACACACACACACACACACAACCCACCTTTTCACCAAATGCAAACTCTTCTGCCCTAAACAGCATACTTTTTTAAAAAAGAAGCACAAAAAAAGGTCATGATGAATTCAATGGCCAAACTGGCTTGTCAATTGGTCACTCCTCTGTTGGTCACTCCTCTTGTTAGATCCAAACTAAAACTTAGCACATTGAACTCAATAGCAGGAAGAAAGCTATTGCAAAGATATCCAACCCTTGGTGAAGGCCCCTCATCTGGAAAAATCTGTGATTCTGAAGCCAACCCTGTCACTTCCACGCCTCACTTAGGGGGATACTGTTCTGGCACCCTGTGAGTAGCTGAATATTGATAGGTATGTTCCACCCTGACAATAAGTAAAACTTGAGCAAGAAGGACAAACCATAGTTTAAATACTGAGATTTCATCTCCAGTTAGAATGGAATTTTCAAGAATGCAAGTAACAATAAATATTGTCAAGGATATGGGGGGGGGAAGGCACACTGATATATAGCTGGTGGGACTGCAAATTGGTTCAACCACTATGAAAAGCAGTATGGAGATTCTTCAGAAAACTTGGAATGGAACCACCATTTGACCCAGCTATCCCACTCCTCAGTCTATACCCAAAGGACTTAAAATCAGCATACTACAGTGACACAGCCACATCAATGTTTATAGCAGCTCAATTCACAATAGCTAAACTATGGAACCAACCTAGGTGTCCTTCAATAGATGAATGGATAAAGAAAACATGGTACATATACACAATGGAATATTACTCATCCAAATAAGAGAAATGAAATTATGGAATTTGCTGGTAAATGGATGGAACTGGAGACTCTCATGCTAAGTGAAATAAGCCAGTCCCAAGAAACCAAAGGCCAAATGTTTCCTCTGATATGCAGTGATAACACACAATAAGAGGCAGGGTTAGGGAAGAATAGAAGTTCATTGGATTAGACAAAGGGGGATGAAGGGGAAGAAGGGGGATGGAAATAGGAAAGACAGTAGAATGAATCAGACCTAATTTTCCTATGTTCATATATGAACGCATGACGAATGTAACTCCACATCATGTACAATCACAAGAATGAGAAGTAATATTCTATATATGTATAATATGTCAAAATACATTCTATTGTTATATATAACTAAAAAGAACAACAACAAAAAAAAACCCTTACCTTTAAGGCACCGATGATCCCACCCACTAGCAAATACAAGGGAATGAGAGGCTGTATGGGGCAGTCCTCCAAAAACTTCATTCCTACCCAGGGAAAACAGAAAGGGATTGAGAGATGCATTCAAGAGCACCAATCCTGGTTATGAAGATGAGCTTAACACCTACAAAGGCCAAAATGTTAGTTCCACAAACCATAACTCCATTCCCTGCCCTGCTGGTGGGATCCTCTTGGCCTCATGGGCCACCTGACCTTCAGGATGCTCGGTGGGTTGACTCTGTAGATCCCACTCTCTTGGCAGAATGAGGGCAAATGTATATCAGGAAGCAGAGAAGTTATTTTTGTTAAAAGCAACGACTCTTCACTCAGGCCTACAGATGCCCCATGGGTAACTAAAAGCAGGATGAAGATTGGCATCTCAGCCTTCATTCTGTATCTGTCTCCTTTATTATCTTCAACTTTGGGTTAGGGGTCTGCTTAGCTCAGCATGTAAGCCATATTAATCCCTTAAGGAGTGTTCATCTCATAACTAGTAATACAAGGTTTGTCAGCCCCAGATTTATCTAACTGATCTCATTTCCCTCTGAGACTGAGGCAGGATTTGCAGCACCCTGTTTCAGATCCATAGGGTGATTGCCTACAAGGACTACGCCTTCCAGGAACCACTGGAGCAGGACATCAACCCATGATGGGACCCCTAAACAGGAGCCATCATCTCATGGGAACTGAATTGCCTCCTTCCAGGATCCCAGGTCCTCTCGAGAGACAAGGACTTCTCCAGAGCCCCCTTGCAGAACAAGAACTGAGACAATGATCAATCAGACCACTTAATCACGCACCCCTCTTGCCCCTGCCCCAGTTCTTCCCCTATTTAAAGCTAAAGCTCCTGCCAGCACCCAGAAGGCACTTTGCCTTCCCAGGGTGGCCCTATTGTTTGTAGTTCTTTTCCTGCTCTTCACCATCACCTTTTTTGTTTGGTGTTTGGGGCAAGGAGGTGGATCAGGTTTGTTGGGATCCCTGGCGTCAGGCCTCTGGCTGACAATTCCAGGAACAAATGAATCATCAGACAAAGCAGGGACAGACGTCACTGCACCTTTTATCCGGGTACTAAGTGGTCACGAGTGTACCGGGCTTTTATGAAAAGCTGGTGTATGTATGACAGTTCATGCTTTCAAGGATTCTTTTCACAAAGGGACTTCAAGAATCCCTTTAAACACGCAGTTCCCTTGATATGCTTAAAATAAGGTTCAATTTATGGGTCACCTTCCCAAAATGCATCCACTGAGTAAAATGAGGCCTCTATTCTGCCACTGCTTCCAGGGGGCAGAGGAGCCAGCGGGAAGCCCTTCCACCTGTGCAGGGCTGTTGTCATGGTCATTTTGTCATTACCACTGACCATTTTGCTCCCTGGACCCCCAAGCTGGGAGACTTGTGTTTCCTGAGGCATCTTTAGCAACTGGGTATGGAATACTGCTGACTACCCCCGGGCTCAGACCTCCAAACTCTTCCTTCAGGATCGTATTTCTTCCCCAAACAATACTTTCTCTACTTTTCTTGGGTCTTTATCTTCTAAGCCTATTATTAAGCAATAATATGATGCATCTTTTTTAAACACAAGAAGGAAATGTCTCATTTCCCTCATTAACAAAACTAGTTCCAATGACCAGGCCGCAGAGGGGTGCAAGCACACACACGACTCTTCTGTGTAGAGGCGTGGATGGATACGTGCCTTCATATTGCCAAGGCCCCTGTGGGCACACAGGGCTGTGTGACTAGTTGTGACCAACTGGTTGTGGGACGTTGGCATCAACCATTTTAAACTGATACATGATCCTTCTTTCGCCTCCTGCTTTAACCACCTGGAAAACAATGAGCTGAGAGGGCCTCTCTCTCAGGACTGAGGCAGTTTGTAAAGCTGGGGGTCATGTTTATTGCCTTGGGGAGTCTCCTGAGGCTCTGGGATGACCCCTAATCCACAATGGAATTTTCAGGAGCAAGATATAAGCCTGTGATCCCATGCACACGTCTATGATCCCAGCAGCTCGGGAGGCTGAGGCAGGAGGACCGTGAGTTCAAAGCCAGCCTCAGGAAAAGCCAGGCACTAAGCAAATCAGTGAGACCCTGTCTCTAAATAAAATACAAAATAGGGCTGGGGATGTGGCTCAGTGGTCAAGTGCCCTTGAGTTCAATCCCTGGTATCCACACCCCCCCCCAAAAAAAAAACCAAGAAATAAACCTTTACAGTGTTAAACCACTGAGATTCAGGGTTAATTTGTGACTACAGCATAATTAAATTACTTGATTAATTTGTCAACAGGGCTCTAAGAAGGGAATTCTCAGGTTGAACTAGTCTCCTGTTTAAAACACATTTGATTTGACATTTTATTTCTCAAAAATGCCTGGATATGGGAACTTAAGCAGAGGAAATTTTTTTCGATGACTACATCATGTTTCATTGACATTATTGAAAATTTCTAAATGTACAGATGTAAATATAAATTCAGGGCCCCAAACAGAGTAAAGTCCTCCGTACACATTGATTGGATCGTCAACCTCTATGACGTGCCTTTCCAGTTTCTCTGATGTTTGTTTGAAACCATTAGCAGATGGAAGTGCTCTCCAAGTCTCAACACAACCTTTCCACACAAAGACATTCAAGTATCGGATGCCAAATTTGTGGGTATGAACTGCCTTTACCATTCAAAAGCCAGCTGTGTAATGAACATTGAGTAATGACTTGTATATCTGCTCATTCCTAATGAATAAGAACAGCTGCTGCTCACAGGAGAGTCGATCCATGCACAGATGGCTTGAAAAGATCCCAATCAACTCAATCAACACAGTTTTCCTCTGTGTTCTTCACGTGTTGCTTAGGTCCTACCTGAACCCTAGATTTTCTTTCTGTCTGATCTGCAGTATCACAATGATACCCTTTGGCTTTTTCGAACTCTCCCCAAAGCAGTTGATAATATTGCTAGAGATGGTGATTCCCTACCCACACAACAATATTATGGGGTGTGTGTGTATGTGTGTGTGTGTGTGTGTGTGTGTGTATGAGTGTTGACAATTCTTATTGTGATATAATAGCCAAACAAAAAATTTTAACCACTTAAGCATACAATTCAATGGCATTAATTTCAATCAGCATCTTGTGTGACCATCACCATCATCCATTTTCAAGAACTTTTCATCACTCCAATGCAAGCTCTGTAATTGCTACGCAGCAACTCCCCGAGACCTACTTTCTGCAATGGATGTAGTCGTTTTAACATAGTGACCATGTCAATGAACTCATGGACACTTGGTGAATGAGTTGTTAGCTGGTGAATGAGCTGGTGAACAACTAACCACAGCTCCACAGTCTCTCTTACACTACTGATTTTGCATAGAACACTGTCTACAGGGCATTTCTGATCTCCCAAGCTGGGTGTGACTAACTTCTTATAAACTCTTCTTAAAAGAGCAGAACCATAAATGGAAGTTAATTTTCAAACTAACTCTAATAATGGTAGTTTCCAGATTTGGGCAAGTGGTTGAATTGTTTTCCTCATATAGTAAATGGCCCCAGAATGTTTTGCTCTTTTAGTTCTGGGCAACTTTGATATTTTATTTTATTTCTCTCTCTGTCGTTGTTTAAGCTGTTTGTATTTTTTTTTTTGGGGGGGGTACTGGGGATTGAACCCAGGGCATTTAGACACATCCCCAGCCTTTTTTATTGTTTATTTAGAGAGACAAGGTCTCACTGAGTTGCTTAGGGCCTTTCTAAGTTTCTGAGGCTGGCTTTGAACTTGCAATCCTCCTGCCCCAGCCTCTGGGATTACAGGTGTGCACCACTGAGCCGAACTCAGGCTATTTATCTTTTTATTTCTCTCTCTTTCTCTCTCTCTCTCTCTCTTTTAAAAAAACAGGGTACTGTTTTTGTTTATTTCTATTTTCAGAGTTGTATTTTTTTAGTATAAAATTTACTGGACATAAAATCAACTATTTTAAAGGGAACTACCCAGTGGCATTTAGCATATTCTCAATGTTGTACAAACATCCCCTTTATCTAGTCCCCAATAGCTTCATCACCCTAGAATGAAACCTTGTATCCATTAAGCAGATAGGGTACTGGGTTTGTTGTTGTTGTTTTCAATAACTCCTGCACCTTTTTAAAATTTCTGCCCCATGTCCTTTGAGCTTGGAACCTAGAACACTGGCTAGCTAGGCCTCAGGGTAAATAGGGCATCGACCTTCTGCATGCAGATCTCAGGGGCTCCCATTAGCAATTTCAAGAGCATGAGATTAGCTCCACAGACATGTGCCAGGGACTTTTGGCTTCTCAAGGAGTCCACTCCTACTCCCCTGCCACCTCCCCTGTACTTCACACTTGCAGATTATAAAGTTGTTTAATCCGTGCAATCAGGGGAGCATTTATTATTCACTCATTCCGCAAAAAAACATATACAGTGAGCCCGTACTTTCCTTGGGCCTCGGATGCATTTTTCCTATTGTTCACGATGGGCTTCCTCAGGGGAACACAGGAACCGGGAAGGGGCCTCGGGCAAACTCGGCCTTGGGACTCCTAAACCTGGGCTAGGAAGATCAGAATCTTCTTCCGACAGTTTTAAAAGCAGATGCCTGTCCCCACCCCAGACACACCTCATCAATATCTTCCAGGGCGGGGACCAGGAATGTTCACCAAGTCACTCTGTGACAGCAAAGAGATAATTGGGGATGACTGATCTTGCCAGCCCTGCCTAAGCACAGTTGATGCTTAAACGTTAAGTGCTGTCACCCTGCTGCACCCCCGCTGACCTGCAGCTTCCCGCAGCCAGCACAGCAGCCAGCTCACCTGTGAAGGCCATGGACAGCGGCAGGACCAGGAGAGCCGTGAGCAGGAGAATGAAGCAGGCTGCAAGGAGAAGGAGCCGGTTAGGAACACGCCCTTATCCTTTCCTTTTCCCTGGGGTTTACTTTGCACTGGGAAACCCAAGCTGCTCTCAAGTCTTCAGTCGGCAGACAGGAGGAGGTCAGGTTGGCCCGGGACTTGCCCAGGTGGGGCATTTCTGAGAGCCTCACACCTCTGCCGTCATGCTGCCAACTCGAGGCCCGGCCTTCCTCTGTGACTTCTCCAAGTCGGACAGCCTGCAGAACAGGGATTCGTCAACCGCTGCTCTGCTCACACAGGAGGCCAGAAGCCAGGCAGGAGTGACGCTGTGCTTCCTGGGAGCCTGTACCCAGGGAAGATGGTTCTTCTCTTTCCTGAGTAAAATTCACTTTATCACTCAGAGAATTTGCTTCATGAGATCTTCCCTCTCCATTTAGTGATATAGATGGCTTGAAGGTGGTTTGAACATGTCCCAAAAGGTTCATGTGCTGAAAGGTTGGTTTTCAGTGTGGTGATGTCAAGAGGTGGTACCGAGAGGTGGTGAGACCCTCAGGAGGTGGGGCCTAGGGGTAGGAAACTAGGTCACTGGGGGGTCGGCCATTGGAAAAGACTGTTTCCTTTTCCTCTCCTTTGCCATGTTGTGACGTAGTCAAAGGACCATCACAGGAGGCTAACAGATGTGGCCACTCAATCTTGGACTTTCAGACTCTAACACTGTAAGCTAAATAAACCTCTTTCCTTTATAAAGTACCCAGCCTCAGATACTTTGTCATAACAACAGAAAATGGACTCATACAAGCGGTCTCCTGTCGCATCTCACGACTAAACACACAGGGTCACTCCAGGTGAACAGGGCTGTGTGAAATAACCAGAGGTAGAGAAATACCTTTTTCTTTGTGTCCTGTGATGGCTCCTCTGACCTTAGGGGTCCATGGAAAGAAAGAGAGAGAGAGAGAGAGAGCACTGCTGAACCCTTTTATTGGGTAGAAGCTATTCAAATGAGGTAAGGGGTCAGGTTTTGGGGGGGGGGTTGAGTCTAGCTTCATGATGTCTACTGTCAGGAGATTGACTGACATCTAGGAAGGCCACACCCAAAGGCAGAACAAGAGATGGGGACACACAAAGGGAGTTTCCATGGAACATTCTATCCCAAACAGGGCAACGGGGTAGGATTACAAAAGAATAGGTGAGTTAGCTCAACCCCAGGGTGTGCCTAATCAGAAGACTGGCCTTGCTATCCGGGCAGGGGAAAAAGTCGACTGAGTCACGAGTCATGGCACTACTGCCCAGAATACAGTGATCTTTCAGGTCCCTGTGGTGCAACAGGACTGGAAGTCATGGTAACTCAATGTGGCTCCCCACAGTCTCCTAAAACCTCTTCGTGACACAGTGTGACAGAGCTCTGAACTGACTTGGAGCTGTTTTTCCTGTTCATGACACCAATTCATCCTTTAGATACTGAGAAAGAGCAGAGTCATGGGGACCGAACAGGCCTGAATCCAAATCCTGTCCCTGTCCCTCATTACCAATGTGGCTCTGGGCAAATCTGTTGACCTCCTGAAGCCTCACCTCCCTTTCTTGTCCAGTGTGTTAGCAGAAGCACACAGGGAGTTCAGCATGTGGCAACCATTACAATAAGGCCTTTACTATTCCTCTTTGGTTCCTGACCTGTGAAGTGGCCTGCAGACACAGGTTTTGCTGGGCCAGCATTATTTTAAATCATGATTCTGAACGTCTTTTGGGTAGAAATGCACCCAGTTCCCACTGCCAAAGTCGGGACAGCATCACACACTTTTTTTTACATTTTTACTGTATCCTGTTGCCAGCCCTGAGAACTGAGGTAGGATTGCTAAGGTGGTAGGTGGTCTCTGCAGTGTCTATTTCTTCCCCTCAAGGTCATCACCCCAATTTTTTGCTCTGGTTTCTACCTCCCCACTCTCCTGTGCTGTGTGACAGAAGCTCACTCCATCCTGGGTGTGGAAAGGGACATGGCAGTTTAACTCTGAATGGACCAGCACAGTCCCACTCCCTGGACAGGGTATCATTTAATGGATGGGCTCATGACTCTTTGGGGGAGCTTTTCCTGAGAACAAGGAAAAAGCTTTCTCACTCTTCTGATAGAAAGGTTCTCCCAGTTGCTCTGGGGATTGTTGGTACCCATTTTGCCACCCTGAGGGACAACCAGCCTAAGAATGAAGCTGACATCACGGGAGGCAAGAAGAGAAGCAAAAGAAAACTGGGTCCTTGATGGCATTTGTCACCCAGTGAGTGATGCTAAACGACTTCTTGGATTTCCTTTCACATGAACCAATAAGCCCCTTTATTAGTTAAGCCAGTCTGAGTTGGGTTTTAGTGACACTGAACTTGCTGCAATTGATTTAATTTATAAGGTCCATTCTGATTTGAATTGTGAAAGATCTCGGGTTTATTTGCTGATTTCAGTCATCTCTGAGATCCAAAGCTACACCTCACACCTTCCCCAAATGACACGAGTCCTGACTACTCAGTCGTCCAGAGCAGAAGGGACAACACAGGGGGTGCCCCCTTAAGACTCCCTCCATGCCAATCTTGACCTTCACCTGCAGGAAATGTAGAGGAGAGCAGGCTTGCAGTGGGCTCTGCCTCCATCCCCACTGCTCCCCTCAAACCATCTCTCTCTGAATCAGCTTTAATTCTGACCATTTGTACAATCCCACAGGCCATGAGCTCAGGAAAACCTAGCATTTGTCGCCATCTTGGAATTCCAAATGACTTTATCTTTGAACTTGTGTTTTCTAAGTGATGTCTGATGGGACAGTGAAGCATGTGAGCCGATTATAAGCAATATTCTTGTCTGCCATCCCTTTGCCGCTGTCTTCTTATATATATATATATATTGCTCTTGAATTCTGGTGCCCCCACAATATGTGGGGGTTCCGCAAGTCTTAGAATGAATTCAAGGTAAGTGGATTGTGACTAGTAAGGAGAGGCCTGGTAACTCTCAGAAGCCACATCCCATTTGAAGCAGAACTGATTCAAATGCAGACCAGGCAAGGAGGTTTCAAGAAACATGAGCCATCAGGAAACCTTGTCTTCTTGCTGACCAATGAGTCTCCCCATACCCACCAGCCCCTCATCCTGCAGTTGACGCAAATGAAGCCGTAGCTCCTTCCCCTTTGGGAGGTCTTCCCTCAATAAGCCAAAGGTGGAGTGTTGGCAGAATGTGTGCATATCAAAAAGTGAAATGACCACAGTTAAAGTTAGTTTTGTGTGGTGTGTCCACTGTTCTGGTGAAAACAGAAATGCACGTTGGGTCATGCTACGAAACACAAATTGTGTCATTTTGATGACTCCACATATGGGTTAAATGCTCTTATAGTTGCATTTAAAACTAGCATGTAAGGACGGGGGACGTAGCTCAGTGGTAGAATGCTTGCTGAGCATGCCTGGGTCCTGGGTTTGACTTCCAGCATCACAAAAAGCAAACAGAAAACTCACCCAATATTAAGATGAGTAGGAAAATCTATGTGAAAATTAAATGCTTGATTTTCCTCTACTTAAAAGGACATTAAATAGCAAACAAAAAGTACTATGGCAGGTCAAAAGGAAAAAGTTTTATATTTTAGAAGCTTAAACAGTGCTTCCCCCATCCCCCGCTTGTTCAAATGAGGTGTTCCTAATTTTCATTTTGCACTGGCCCCTAAAAATTATAAAGCAGGCCCTATTGGTCACGGATGACACAGCACAGCCGGCAGGGGTGGCCCATTAAAGTGAGAATCTCACTAGCAACCTCTGTCTTAAATCTCAATTTAGAGCAGAGTCAAGAAATTTCTTGCTGCTGAACAAGAGTAAATCAAGAGTCAATGAATCCCAGTCTCTATTTCTGACTTTGCAGCTTGTCGCCAAGATGAGAAAGTGATTGACATCCTGGAAAACCCTCATTGAACTGCAAACTTGGGACAGATGGTGCCACCTGGGCGCATGTGTAATCCAGGTGCTCAGTGACACAGAGACCCTGAGCCCCTCCCGGGGGAGCCACCTGCCACTCCACCTTTCCCTCTGCCGGATGGCAGAATGCAAACTATGCCCTTCTGGCATGAGGATTATTTTGAGCTAAAGTCACTTAAATAATTCTGGATGCAGGAAGTAGGCTCTGCCCTTCCCCCTTTTCTTCCTGAAAGCTGAAGATGAAACCCCACATGAAAGATGTCCTCTCTCTGCCTGAAGGAAGGTAACGTTATGGTCACCTAGGACGAGCCACTGAGACCAAGAGAATTCCGCACATACAAATCTTGTAAAAATAGTTCTTATCTTCTGTTACCTCCCCATCCCATGTAATTTGGTTACTTTTCCACAACGCCTAGTTCTTTGTTCAGCCTAGTATAAAAGCATTTTAAAGGGTTTGCTACTTCTTTGGGGTCTTCATTCTTTATAAACTGTCGAATGTCTCATAGAACTCATATTAAATAATTTTGTATGCTTTTCTCCTATTAATTTGTATTACCTTGTGGAAGACCAACCTTGCATGTGACTGAGTCACACTCCCCGGCTGGGTGCTGAGGCGCTCAGTCACAGAAATGTGGCAGAGCTTTCCCCATCCTTCTTGGATACCACGGTTGGTGTCTTGTGCATGGGTGTGTCTTGCTACGGCCAATGGGTGGAGCTACGATCACCGGTTCCTTTGTAATCTAACCCCTTGCCCTGTTTAGGATAGAATCTTCCACGGAAGTGCCTTGTGTGTGTCCTCTTCTCTTACTTTGTCCTTGGGTGTGGCCTACCCAGGTGTCAGTCAACCTGCTGACAGTGGACATCATGAAGACAGACTCAGCCCCCTGAAACCTGACCCCTTGCCTCATTTGAATAGCTTCTCCTCAATAAAAGGGGTCAGCGCTGCTCTCTCTCTCTTTCTTCCTGAGGACCCTTAAGGTCAGAGGAGCCATCACAGCGACCCCAAAGTAAAAGGTGTTTGTGTCTCTTGTGTGGTTATTTTATGCAGCCCAGTCAGCCCAGTTTAACTGGAGTGACCCCTGAGCCTTTTAGTCGAG